CCCCGCCTATCTCTTGAGGCTACAGTGAGGCCCAAGCAAGCCAGTGTAGACTCAAAGTGTTTCATGCACTCTGCAAAGGCCAGAGGATCAAAGGACCAGCATCCACTGACCCAAGTTCACAGACACTCCTGTTAATGCCTCCAAGTAGTACTGGCACCATCTAAGCAGGCATCTCTGAATTCATTTAGAAACTATGACTGGGGGCCAGCAGGTGGTGTGGTTAAGGCACCAAACTCCCGTATGACCCATTGTGGTTCAAATCCCATATCTGGAAACTTGCTTTCTCACTTTCCCTCTCTCTCTGTCTCTCTCTGGTGAGTGCACATGCCATATTGCAAATTAAATAATAATAATAAATAAAATTCAATAAAAATTTTTTCTTCTTTTTTTTTTTTTTTTTTGGGAGGTTTTCGTTAGAGGGGAGGGTGGCCCGGCCAGAGACATAGAGACAGAAAGCGAGAAATCACCCCCCAGGGGGATGGTCACACCGCAATCCCTTCTCCTCCATTCTCCTCTCGGGATCTTGGGCACGCACGCACACGCGCCTGGTGTGAGTTCTAAGCCACCGGGTCCGGGACGCGAACCGCGGTCGATTACATGGGAATCCAGCAACATAGCCATTATGCTAACTGCTGGTTCCCTAAAAAAAACTTTTTAAAGACACTGTTAGTTAGACACAGCCACAAAAAGTTACAGCTTTGTAGTGATTTACATCTCAAGAGCTGACACTCCCCTACCAGAGGTGGGACGCTCCCTTCTGCAGGGGACCCTTCAGCTGGGGGAGCCCGAGGCTTCCCTTCCATTGTATCTGCTCCCAGAACTAAGGTAGGGAGGGCACGGCTCACCCTGCCAGCCCGCCGCCTGCAGCTGGATCTTCTCCAGAAAGCTTTGCTGGATAGCAGCAGAGCTCTCCTGTCAGCGGGAACGAGCCCTGCAGGGTACAGCCGCCCCGGCACACTCAACACGCATTCTGGCACCTCCTGGTACCTCCGCAAAGAGGCAGACGGCGCCTGGGAGGGGCCCCAGAAAACAGCTAATGAGCGTGTAGATTTGGAGAGGTTTTGACCACAAAACTAAACAGAGAGATGCCTCCGAGTACACCCTGCATTTGTGGAGCAAGCTATCTCCAGGGTATGAGCAAATTTTAGGCCTGCCAGTCCCCAAGAGCCTAGCCAGTTGGCTCATTTCACAGATAAGAGAACTGAGGCCCCCAACAGGGCCTACAGCTAGGCCATCTGATCCCATACCTAGTGACTACATTTGAGACCAGGGACTTTCAACCCAGACTGCATGCTTGGATCACCTGAGGAGCTTAAAAGTATGTGAATGCCTGAGCCCCCTGCCAGATCTGTGGAACCAGAAGCCCCAGGAGTGGAGCCTGGGATCACTATGTTTGTGAGAGTTCCTCGGGGGATTCTCCCTTTCCCCTGAGCTAATGAGAGAACTGGGTTTCTCTGCTGTCAGTTGGGGTGGGATATTCCTTTTCATTCTCCAGGGGTACCCTATAGCAGGGGACAAACTGATAGCATAAGGGGGCAGCAAGCTGAGACTTGACCTCTGCTGAGACTCCCCCTGCAGCTGGGATTGGGCCTAGGATGGCCTGGAACAGAAGCTGTGCTCTGCTTTCTTCTAGCACAGGGCTCTCGAACTCCTGGGCTCTTCTAGAGCAGAGGTCTCTCACTCTTGGGCTATGAACTGGTGCCAGTCTGAGTCCTGCTGGGGACAAGGCTGCAGACCACTGCCAGTCCATGGCCTGTCGGTGGTGGGCTATGGAGGTGCCTGTCTGTCAGATGCATGACAGGGTGGGTGGCAGGCAAGCGGGTGAGGCTTCATCTGTGTTTGGCAGCCGCTCCCCATCACTCACACTGCCACCTGGCCTCTACCTCCTGTGTTGGGTTCTCATGGGAATGTGAACCCCGTTGTGTGACTGTTTCATTGTGCATTGCCGCGTGGTCGTGGTGGAAATGGGGTGCACAGTGGACGTGGTGCGCTAGGGCCATCCCAGGCCCACTGCCCTCCCCTAGTTCATGGAGGAATCTTCCATGAGGACGGTGCGTGGTGCTGGGAAGGTAGGCAGCCACTAGAGTATCTCTGTGCCTCATCAGGGAGGAACCCCGCAACCTTCCTGGGTGGCCCCGTCTCACTTTAGCCATCACCTCTTGACCTTAATCCGTTCCCCTCTCCTCTCCTCATCCCCATCTGACCAGTTTCCATCACTGCAAGCAAGCAATCAGGACTTTTTGGGGGGTGGGCAGAGATTTCTTTAAGGCACATACAAGTCTATAAAAATTTCTCTTCCTTTCCCTCCTTTTTCGTTCTTTTTAATCCTATTAGAGTGCATGTGTGCTCACATGAGAGCACGTGTCCTGCGCATCCTCCGCAGGGTCTGCTCACACCTCCATCCCCTTCCTGCAGTCCTCTAGACCGTGGGGTCTGGGGCACTTACACACGTGCCCTGCTTCAGGCCGACAAGGAGGGGGATTTGAACTGCAGTCACCATGTTGGATCCAGCTTCTCTTGAGCAGTGCGTTATTTCTGTGCATGGAACCACTCTTCTCCCTCCTTTTTTACACCAAGAGTACTTCTCTGGGCCACTGAGCATCCTGCTTTTTTCTTTAAAGAATTATTTATTTAATTTTATTCATTCACTTATTTATTTTTTAAAGAACGTTTTAATTTAACTTTTATTTGTTTGTTTTTGTTTGTTTTAATTTGAACCAGAGAGGGACAGAGTGAGAGAGAGAAAAAGGGAAGGTGAGAAAGCAAGACTCTAGGTCCAGGACTTGAACCATGGTCAGCCATGTGGGAGTTTAGCACCCTTAACCACCACACCACCTACCGGCCTCTACTTATTTATTTTTAATTTGACCGGAGAGAGGAAAAGTGAGAAAGCAAGCCTCTGGGTCCAGTACTCAAACTGGGGTTGGCCATGTGGGAGTCCAGTGCCTTACCCATCACACCACCTGCTGGCCCAGCAGCCTGCTTTTTGCATTTAAGTTTTCTCTTAGACATCATTTCATATCAATTCATTATTTTTCTATAGCTGCATTTCCTTAGCCCAAAATCCAAGGACTTCTCTCCTGTGTCTGAGTTAAAAATCTCTGATCGGGTTTGCCCATCACCACTGGCTTGCTGTCGGGGTGCTTGGGGACCCAGAGGCTGGGGCTCGGGTCTAATTCCACCTCGGAGGTATTTTTCTGCCAGTGCTCTGACTTCCTGAGTGAGAGCCTGGGCGTGTACCGCCTTGCTTCAGATCACACAGCTGGAGTCCCTGCCAAGGGGGTGCTGCCGTGTGGGCACCTTAGGGGAACGTCAGAATGGCTTTCTAGAACTCCGAATCACAAGCCTCCTTCGGTTGGCCAACCCGACCTGGAGGCAGCACCTGCTTTCCCTCTGCGGCTGCAGGCTTATTTGCTTCCTCCTGTGAAGAGGTGAGGTAAGGTGTTGTTCTTGGAGGAAGGAGCTCCGAGTGTGGACTGAGACTGGGGAAGAGCCAGCACCTGGGAGTGGGGCAGGTGTGGGCGGGGCGCAGCAGGGTGGCGCAGCCCCACCTGTGGGAACAGATGCCTGAGTCCCGCGGTGTGGGGTCCACTGCCAGCTCACTGATTGGGAGACCTGTGCTCTCAGATTCAGAAGACTGAGATCTCGGTGAGTGATCCAACCTCTTGGAAACTTGCAATCCTTCTGTGTGAAGGGGTAAAAGCAAGTGACCACAGACTTGCTGGGAGCATTAAGCGAGTTTTTGTTTGTTTTAATTTGACCAGAGAGGGACAGAGTGAGAGAGAGAAAAAGGGAAGGTGAGAAAGCAAGACTCTAGGTCCAGGACTTGAACCATGGTCAGCCATGTGGGAGTTTAGCACCCTTAACCACCACACCACCTACCGGCCTCTACTTATTTATTTTTAATTTGACCGGAGAGAGGAAAAGTGAGAAAGCAAGCCTCCGGGTCCAGTACTCAAACCGGGGTTGGCCATGTGGGAGTCCAGTGCCTTACCCATCACACCACCTGCTGGCCCAGCAGCCTGCTTTTTGCATTTAAGTTTTCTCTTAGACATCATTTCATATCAATTCATTATTTTTCTATAGCTGCATTTCCTTAGCCCAAAATCCAAGGACTTCTCTCCTGTGTCTGAGTTAAAAATCTCTGATCGGGTTTGCCCATCACCACTGGCTTGCTGTCGGGGTGCTTGGGGACCCAGAGGCTGGGGCTCGGGTCTAATTCCACCTCGGAGGTATTTTTCTGCCAGTGCTCTGACTTCCTGAGTGAGAGCCTGGGCGTGTACCGCCTTGCTTCAGATCACACAGCTGGAGTCCCTGCCAAGGGGGTGCTGCCGTGTGGGCACCTTAGGGGAACGTCAGAATGGCTTTCTAGAACTCCGAATCACAAGCCTCCTTCGGTTGGCCAACCCGACCTGGAGGCAGCACCTGCTTTCCCTCTGCGGCTGCAGGCTTATTTGCTTCCTCCTGTGAAGAGGTGAGGTAAGGTGTTGTTCTTGGAGGAAGGAGCTCCGAGTGTGGACTGAGACTGGGGAAGAGCCAGCACCTGGGAGTGGGGCAGGTGTGGGCGGGGCGCAGCAGGGTGGCGCAGCCCCACCTGTGGGAACAGATGCCTGAGTCCCGCGGTGTGGGGTCCACTGCCAGCTCACTGATTGGGAGACCTGTGCTCTCAGATTCAGAAGACTGAGATCTCGGTGAGTGATCCAACCTCTTGGAAACTTGCAATCCTTCTGTGTGAAGGGGTAAAAGCAAGTGACCACAGACTTGCTGGGAGCATTAAGCGAGACAGAAGAGGTGGGATCATTCTGTAGGTGGTTCAGTGTACGCCGTGTGACTGAGTTCTCTGCCGGGTTACCGTGTGGCAGTGGCCTAGTAGCCCTGTTGCTGGACCTCCCTGAGCCTTGGTCTCCCCTCCCGTGGAGTGCATTTGCCACCCTTCTCCAAGTGGCCGGGAAGGGACTGGACTGACGTGGTTCTCCTCCTTCTGCAGGACCTTGCACCACCTGTATGCCTCTCTTCCTGGAGAGGAGGCAGTTCCGGGCCTGCTTCCCGGCCGTCTCTGCTCTGCGCGCTGCCAGCACCCTCAAAGAGCTTCTTGGCTACGCCGCCCCAGAGATTCCTGCCTCCGCGTGTCCGCTCCTGCCTCTGTGAGCATGGCACCCACAGGCTTCCAGGACGAATCATAGACCCCAAGCCTCCGCAGCAGCTGCAGCTGGGCATTCCCTGGGGCTCACTCTGCAGCCCCTCTCAGCTCCAACCATCGGAGACCAGTGCCCACCCTAGAGATGCCCTCGGGAGCTGTGGCCCCAGCTGGATGAGGCCATTCCAGAGCGGGCCCCACGCTTGCTGCCCACCGAGCCTCCCACGCCGGTCCCCGCACCTCTGGTAGGGCTGTGCTGGCAGACGCTAGCATGTCTGTACCCCAGATCCAAGTGGAAGAAGTGGATGGGGCCGAGGAGCCAGTGGGAGCCACGCCTCCTGATGACCACCTGCGAAGCCTGAAGGCCCTCACCGAGAAACTGAGGCTGGAGACGCGCAGGCCCTCCTACCTAGAATGGCAGGCCCGGCTGGAGGAGCAGACGTGGCCCTTCCCGAGGCCAGCTGTGGAGCAGGAGGCGAGCATGGAGCAGGGGGCCCCCAGGAAGCATCCCCCACCTGCCGGGAGTGCCAGCCAGGGCGCTGGGCCCCTGCCCACCGGCAAGTTGGAAGGCTTTCAGAGTATTGATGAAGCGCTCACCTGGCTCAGGAAGGAACTGGTGAGTGCGACCCCACCCAGAAATCCCCAGGAGAGGGAAGATGCGATTCACTCTCTCCCTCTCGGCCTTTCCCTCTCTGTCTCTCTGTCTCTGTCCTGCGTTCTCCATGTCTACCTGTCTTTCTCTATCCTTCTCTGTTTCTGTCTCCCAGTTTGTATTTCTATCTGACTCTTGGTCTCTGTTTCTCTCCATCTCTTGCTCTCCTTTCTTCTCTCTTTTTGTGTTTCTGTCTCTTTATCTCTGTCATTTAGTCTCTTTCTCTCCTAGTCTGTGTGTCTCTATTTTTGTCTCTCTGTTTACCTCTCTGTCTGTCACCCACCGCTGCCCCCACCCCCACCCCTCTCTACCCCATCTGACTGCGCATTTGTAACCTGCCCGTCAGATGAAGGGCTCATTTCTACCCCTGTGTCTGTCAGCCCTAATGGCAGACACTAATGGAGGAAGCAGAAGCAGTATTGCTGGTGGGAACCTGAGCCTGGTCAGGGCCTCTCCCTCCCCCATGCCATCACAGCATGGAGCCCTGTTCTCCCACCCTGCACTGTGGGGGCTCCTGGGCTTCACCTGCCTCCTCCTTCTCTGAAACCTCTTCCCCTGCCCGGGGTGTGTGTGTGTGTGTTGGGGGGTGTGGAATCGTGCAGGGACACTGTAAGGCACCGGAGCTCATGGACTGTGCTCTGTGAATACTGCGTGACCAACCATGGCTGGGATGAAGACTGGGGTGGGGAGGTAGAGCAGGGGTCTGCCCCAAAGTCAGGCTGGGGCAGGCACTCCAGGCAGCATGCGTGCAGCCAAAGGGCACGTCGTGTTTCACTGGATGAGCAGCTCAGCCATTTTTCAGGCTGGAGGAGCAGACGTGGCCCTTCCCGAGGCCAGCTGTGGAGCAGGAGGCGAGCATGCAGCAGGGGGCCCCCAGGAAGCATCCCCCACCTGCCGGGAGTGCCAGCCAGGGCGCTGGGCCCCTGCCCACCGGCAAGTTGGAAGGCTTTCAGAGTATTGATGAAGCGCTCACCTGGCTCAGGAAGGAACTGGTGAGTGCGACCCCACCCAGAAATCCCCAGGAGAGGGAAGATGCGATTCACTCTCTCCCTCTCGGCCTTTCCCTCTCTGTCTCTCTGTCTCTGTCCTGCGTTCTCCATGTCTACCTGTCTTTCTCTATCCTTCTCTGTTTCTGTCTCCCAGTTTGTATTTCTATCTGACTCTTGGTCTCTGTTTCTCTCCATCTCTTGCTCTCCTTTCTTCTCTCTTTTTGTGTTTCTGTCTCTTTATCTCTGTCATTTAGTCTCTTTCTCTCCTAGTCTGTGTGTCTCTATTTTTGTCTCTCTGTTTACCTCTCTGTCTGTCACCCACCGCTGCCCCCACCCCCACCCCTCTCTACCCCTTCTGACTGCGCATTTGTAACCTGCCCGTCAGATGAAGGGCTCATTTCTACCCCTGTGTCTGTCAGCCCTAATGGCAGACACTAATGGAGGAAGCAGAAGCAGTATTGCTGGTGGGAACCTGAGCCTGGTCAGGGCCTCTCCCTCCCCCATGCCATCACAGCATGGAGCCCTGTTCTCCCACCCTGCACTGTGGGGGCTCCTGGGCTTCACCTGCCTCCTCCTTCTCTGAAACCTCTTCCCCTGCCCGGGGTGTGTGTGTGTGTGTTGGGGGGTGTGGAATCGTGCAGGGACACTGTAAGGCACCGGAGCTCATGGACTGTGCTCTGTGAATACTGCGTGACCAACCATGGCTGGGATGAAGACTGGGGTGGGGAGGTAGAGCAGGGGTCTGCCCCAAAGTCAGGCTGGGGCAGGCACTCCAGGCAGCATGCGTGCAGCCAAAGGGCACGTCGTGTTTCACTGGATGAGCAGCTCAGCCATTTTTCTGCCCTCGGGCATAGCAGGTTCCCATCAGGAACACCTTTTACCAGGTGCAGGGACTCGGCGTGGGTAAGGGATGGGCAGGACACAGAGCTCAGTGTCCTGCGCCCTCCCGCCTCCCAGGGGACCTTTACTGCTCTAGGGCATGGCAGCCTCTTGGCAGAGCCAGGCATGAAGCCAGCCCTCCCAGGCTCTCGACCCCTGCCCCACCCTGTCGGGTCACCTGAGGCCCAGGCAGCACCTACTGAATCCGGCCACTGGCCACTGGCAGCCAGAGCCGAGGACCAGGTGCCTTCCAGTGTGCAGTAGCTCCAGGCACCGCAGGGTACACAGAGGCCTGCTTGGTTTGTTCTACAGAATCCAGAAAATATGTCCCCACTGGGGCCAGGAAGTCCTCATGAGCTGAAATAAATCATTGGGGTTTGGGGGTGGGGGGTGGGGCTCAGGGATTCAGGTATCTGGTTAATTGGAAATTCCTTTTTTGTTTGTCTCAAACCTTGATGTGGAGATCAATTCACAGAACTTACCATTCCCTCAGGTCTGTCTCAGTGACTGGAGTGTGGACATTGTTGGTTCAGAACTGGGCACCTGTGGATTCTTGCTGTCTCCCTGTTGTTACTGGGTACTTTGGGGGGTGGGTGTAGGAGGTGAGAAGAACTGGATAGGCATGCCCCTGTCAGACCCTGAAAGTTTTGCATTCCTGAAGCTGAACTATTTTGTTTTCACAAGGAGGAACAAAAAATATTTCCATTAGTCAAGGGTGTAATTTGTTGGTTGGGGCTTAACGGAGACATGATGGCTTCTGGGAGCAGAGGTTTGACTTTCTAAAGTTAGCCTTCTCCCCAGGCCCCCTGTGGAAGGAGAATCAGAGAGAGACTCCTGCTCTGTGTGTAAATAGTAGGGAGTCCCTAGAGTTTGTTCTCATTGTTTAGAAGAACGCCTCCACCCTGGCTGTGTATTACAACCTCCGGGCAGCTTCTAAAACTCCCAAAGCCTGGGCCACACCCCAGGCCAATCAAGTGAACAGATGTTTATTTGGGGGTGATGCCCCAGCAGCCATCATTTCAAAGCTTCCAACAGGCAGACCAGGCTGAGAACCACTACCTTGGGTCCATGGTGCAAGCTTTTCTTTTCTTTTGAAGAATTATTTATTTGGGCCAGCAAGTGGTGTAGTGGTTAACTGATTGTGGTTTGAGTCCCAGACTCAGCAGCTTGAAACTCACACTGGGTGCATGTGTGTGCATGCCCAAAATCCCAAGAGGAGAATGGAGGAGAAGGAATTGCGGTGTGGCCATCCCCGCTGGGGGGTGATTTCTTGCTTTCTGATTATCTCTGTCTCTCTTGTGAACACATGCGCCCTATAGCAAAAATCTCTCCATAAAAAAGAAAGAAAAAAAAATGAATTATTTAATTTTATTTATTTTTTCTCAGTTTGCCATAGGGCATGTGTGCTCACGAGAGAGAGAGAGAGAGAGAGAGAGAGAGAGAGAAAGCAAGAAAGCAAGCCACCAGTTCCAAGATTCAAACCATGGTTGGCCATGTGGGAGTCCAGTGCCCCAACCGCCATGCTTCCTGCTGGCCCTGGGCGTGTCCTTTTCTCTTGCCAGGTCACTGTCCCCTGCGTAGCCCAGAGTTCCCTGCCCCGACTGTGCTGGCTGAAAGGAGGATAGTGGGCCGAGATGAGGAGCAATCTCGGGCACCTGTAGAATGGCAGTCCCCAGGCAGACAGAGAATGTGATTGTTAAGATGGATTGGCTCCCAAAGGCTGTCTAAAAT